CTGGAATCCGACACTCAAAAAAGGATCGACACTCAAATAAGTAATTCTGATGGGTTGAAAATGCGCGCTACCAAAGGAAAACCGGCACAATTTTTTTTCAATCAAATGCAAAGTTACGGTGTTATTTTTAATAAAAAAAGCAAACATCTACCATCACTAGCTTGACCCTAAAATATACTTTTTTAAAGTATTCGACCTCATACAATCACCCTTGGGGTTTTCAAGTTATGAAGGAAAAGAGGAAAGAACTGCCCTTTTCGCTTCGTTTGTTATCTGGAAAACACGTTAACAGGGGAACACAGCAAGTTCATATATATGATGTTCACCGCGAGTACATTTCGCGTTTAGTAACACAAAGACTTTCGTGATCCTACCATCAGGTCTCCATTTATCTCCTGGGTATGGAGTGGCAAGTGGAGATTGATGCCTTGCCAAAGGACATTAGTGCTGTGTCGGGGATCGAACCAACGAGCTTTATATATATCACATAGGTATTAGAAAGTACTGTACGTTCTTGTCCTTCATTCCTTTGAAATCCATCATGTTTAAATTAGATAGTGACAATTTTTGTTTTGCCTTTCAGATTTATCGAATCCAGCTCATTGCTCTAACGAGAGGTTACCTCCGTGCGCCGTAGGTTCCCAACGTCTTTCTAACCCCATGGCAGCGGGCTACTTCTTCAAAGGAAACTGGCATTCTAACTACTGCCAGCTTCGTAGCTTTGTAATCCCTAGTTCCCTTGAAATGCCTCACCAATAAAACCCTGTATTCCACGGGGACTCCACCACGAGACAGTATTACGAATACCTCGTGATGAGTCTAAAGAGTTCCCTTGAACCGAATCCCCCTACTTTACAATCTAATTGGAAGGTTGGCCCTTCTATGGCCGAAGACAAAGTAAACAACTTTACGGTTCACTCTCGCCAACACGGATACCCGATCCGAAATAACTGGACGGATGCAACCGAAGTGCAGTACATTGAGGAAGCTCTTGATGAGCTACAAGCGACACCAGATACAGTCTACGCGTTTACAATTTGGGCGCATCTAACCACCCTAAACATGAGTTTCTATGAGCATCGAGTGAGGAGGAAAAAGGCCGCGCTGGAAAGATTGCATCGCCGTAGTCCCGAGACGCTTGTCGTTATCAAAAGCGTGAATACCCGTTCGCACGGGAGCGCGGGATCGTCTGTAACGGTAAGCGATTGGTACGCGCGAGAACTGGACATGAAGCTTAGGGAAATATTCAAGAGCTACGATAAGAAAATTGGATTCATAGACCAGTGGTCGATGGTGGTAGGATTTTCGAATCCGGATGCCATTCATCCATGCCAGGGAGTTATATATAGTGGAATAACTACATTACTGTCTTTGGCATGGCTATGTGCAATTATGGGATTAGGATACTGTGAGACTTAAATACAAAACGGATTTTATATAAGAAAGTTATGGCAGTTTTTAGATTTTTAGGGGTCCATTTTTCAAGAATTTGAGAGATTTTTGACGGAGTCGGTTTCAAGTTTAACATTTGAGTACGAAGATGGCATTTTGAAGGTCAAGTTATACGTCGCAGAGGAAAGAACATCTCTTAGACTATCTAAAAGGAATTTATTAGAAGTTTGTAGGATCTAGGATAGTGGAGATAGGAAGGAAGAAAGAAAGGCCTAAAAATAGACCAGAAACGGACAAAATGGCGCCTGGATGGTTATGGATGAGTGATTTCGATAATCAAAAAAATAGGTGACCTTGATGAGATACTAGAGACTATGCCTATGACATTTGAAAGGAAATGGACATGAGAAAAGCACCTAACTAGGACATATTGCTCCGATTGTCTCATTTTCGCTCGCGTGAACATTGCCAGCACAAACCACTGACCTCTGCCTCCTGAACGGATCATCGCCCATTCCATTCACAATACGTTACGTACTATAAAGGCTGTATTGTCTGACCGTTCATGAATATTCATGTTTTTGCTAAACTCGGCAAAATGTTTGCTTTTACTAAATGGAAAAATTACGGTGGGGGGTTGGATGAAATGGACATAATGAAATAGGCTGAAGTGATCTATGATAATTCATGCTTTCTATGTTTCGTGTGCTCGACCTATAATCTTCAAATCGCTTGGTAAACTGAGTCCAAAGTTAGACTTGTTTCACATGTGTATTGTAGGCAATGGCGAGCTTGCAACCTATTTTGAAAAATTACGGTGGGTGAACTTTCAAAAGTCAATGAGACATGAGGGCTCCAATGAAAGAGCTAGTGATAACGTACGTCGGGGTGGATGTGCTTTTCGTTTAAACAAAAAATGAATTTTTAACGATTTTTAAAAAAAACGTCCATAGGCTAACATGTTAGGCTGCCGACTCAGATCATGCTCTGACGATAGGGGGCGTTGTGAAATGAGACTAACCGGAGCCATATGATAACAAACACTATATGCAAAACGAAACAATGCGATTTTCTGACGAAAAGAAGACGAAGACTAGTATTCGATTCTTTTCGACCGCTGGAATCCGACACTCAAAAAAGGATCGACACTCAAATAAGTAATTCTGATGGGTTGAAAATGCGCGCTACCAAAGGAAAACCGGCACAATTTTTTTTAAAATCAAATGCAAAGTTACGGTGTTATTTTTAATAAAAAAAGCAAACATCTACCATCACTAGCTTGACCCTAAAATATACTTTTTAAAAGTATTCGACCTCATACAATCACCCTTGGGGTTTTCAAGTTATGAAGGAAAAGAGGAAAGAACTGCCCTTTTCGCTTCGTTTGTTATCTGGAAAAAACGTTAACAGGGGAACACAGCAAGTTCATATATATGATGGTCACCGCGAGTACATTTCGCGTTTAGTAACACAAAGACTTTCGTGATCCTACCATCAGGTCTCCATTTATCTCCTGGGTATGGAGTGGCAAGTGGAGATTGATGCCTTGCCAAAGGACATTAGTGCTGTGTCGGGGATCGAACCAACGAGCTTTATATATATCACATAGGTATTAGAAAGTACTGTACGTTCTTGTCCTTCATTCCTTTGAAATCCATCATGTTTAAATTAGATAGTGACAATTTTTGTTTTGCCTTTCAGATTTATCGAATCCAGCTCATTGCTCTAACGAGAGGTTACCTCCGTGCGCCGTAGGTTCCCAACGTCTTTCTAACCCCATGGCAGCGGGCTACTTCTTCAAAGGAAACTGGCATTCTAACTACTGCCAGCTTCGTAGCTTTGTAATCCCTAGTTCCCTTGAAATGCCTCACCAATAAAACCCTGTATTTCCACGGGGACTCCACCACGAGACAGTATTACGAATACCTCGTGATGAGTCTAAAGAGTTCCCTTAAACCGAATCCCCCTACTTTACAATCTAATTGGAAGGTTGGCCCTTCTATGGCCGAAGACAAAGTAAACAACTTTACGGTTCACTCTCGCCAACACGGATACCCGATCCGAAATAACTGGACGGATGCAACCGAAGTGCAGTACATTGAGGAAGCTCTTGATGAGCTACAAGCGACACCGGATACAGTCTACGTGTTTACAATTTGGGCGCATCTAACCACCCTAAACATAAGTTTCTATGAGCATCGAGTGAGGAGGATAAAGGCTGCGATGGAAAGATTGCATCGCCGTAGTCCCGAGACGCTTGTCGTCATAAAAAGCGCGAATACCCGTTCGCACGGGAGCGCGGGATCGTCTGTAACGGTAAGCGATTGGTACGCGCGAGAACTGGACATGAAGCTGAGGGAAATATTCAAGAGCTACGATAAGAAAATTGGATTCATAGACCAGTGGTCGATGGTGGTAGGATTTTCGAATCCGGATGCCATTCATCCAGGCCAGGGAGTTATATATATAGTGGAATAACTACATTACTGTCTTTGGCATGGCTATGTGAATTCATGGGATTATGATACTGTGAGACTTAAATATAAAACGGATTTTATATAAGAAAGTTATGGCAGTTTTTAGATTTTTAGGGGTCCATTTTTCAAGAATTTGAGAGATTTTTGACGGAGTCGGTTTCAAGTTTAACATTTGAGTACGAAGATGGCATTTTGAAGGTCAAGTTATACGTCGTAGAGGAAAGAACATCTCTTAGACTATCTAAAAGGAATTTATTAGAAGTTTGTAGGATCTAGGATAGTGGAGATAGGAAGGAAGAAAGAAAGGCCTAAAAATAGACCAGAAACGGACAAAATGGCGCCTGGATGGTTATGGATGAGTGATTTCGATAATCAAAAAAATAGGTGACCTTGATGAGATACTAGAGACTATGCCTATGACATTTGAAAGGAAATGGACATGAGAAAAGCACCTAACTAGGAATAACAAACACTATATGCAAAACGAAACAATGCGATTTTCTGACGAAAAGAAGAAGAAGACTAGTATTCGATTCTTTTCGACCGCTGGAATCCGACACTCAAAAAAGGATCGACACTCAAATAAGTAATTCTGATGGGTTGAAAATGCGCGCTACCAAAGGAAAACCGGCACAATTTTTTTTTTTTTTCAAATGCAAAGTTACGGTGTTATTTTTAATAACAAAAGCAAACAACTACCATCACTAGCTTGACCCTAACATATACTTTTTAAAAGTATTCGACCTCATACAATCACCCTTGGGGTTTTCAAGTTATGAAGGAAAAGAGGAAAGAACTGCCCTTTTCGCTTCGTTTGTTATCTGGAAAACACGTTAACAGGGGAACACAGCAAGTTCATATATTTGATGGTCACCGCGAGTACATTTCGCGTTTAGTAACACAAAGACCTTCGTGATCCTTCCATCAGGTCCCCATTTATCTCCTGGGTATGGAGTGGCAAGTGGAGATTGATGCCTTGCCAAATGACATTAGTGCCGTGTCGGGGATCGAACCAACGAGCTTTATATATATCACATAGGTATTAGAAAGTACTGTACGTTCTTGTCCTTCATTCCTTTGAAATCCATCATGTTTAAATTAGATAGTGACAATTTTTGTTTTGCCTTTCAGATTTATCGAATCCAGCTCATTGCTCTAACGAGAGGTTACCTCCGTGCGCCGTAGGTTCCCAACGTCTTTCTAACCCCATGGCAGCGGGCTACTTCTTCAAAGGAAACTGGCATTCTAACTACTGCCAGCTTCGTAGCTTTGTAATCCCTAGTTCCCTTGAAATGCCTCACCAATAAAACCCTGTATTTCCACGGGGACTCCACCACGAGACAGTATTACGAATACCTCGTGATGAGTCTAAAGAGTTCCCTTGAACCGAATCCCCCTACTTTACAATCTAATTGGAAGGTTGGCCCTTCTATGGCCGAAGACAAAGTAAACAACTTTACGGTTCACTCTCGCCAACACGGATACCCGATCCGAAATAACTGGACGGATGCAACCGAAGTGCAGTACATTGAGGAAGCTCTTGATGAGCTACAAGCGACACCGGATACAGTCTACGTGTTTACAATTTGGGCGCATCTAACCACCCTAAACATGAGTTTCTATGAGCATCGAGTGAGGAGGAAAAAGGCCGCGCTGGAAAGATTGCATCGCCGTAGTCCCGAGACGCTTGTCGTGATCAAAAGCGTGAATACCCGTTCGCACGGGAGCGCGGGATCGTCTTTAACAGTAAGCGATTGGTACGCGCGAGAACTGGACATGAAGCTTAGGGAAATATTCAAGAGCTACGATAAGAAAATTGGATTCATAGACCAGTGGTCGATGGTGGTAGGATTTTCGAATCCGGATGCCATTCATCCAGGCCAGGGAGTTATATATAGTGGAATAACTACATTACTGTCTTTGGCATGGCTATGTGCAATTATGGGATTAGGATACTGTGAGACTTAAATACAAAACGGATTTTATATAAGAAAGTTATGGCAGTTTTTAGATTTTTAGGGGTCCATTTTTCAAGAATTTGAGAGATTTTTGACGGAGTCGGTTTCAAGTTTAACATTTGAGTACGAAGATGGCATTTTGAAGGTCAAGTTATACGTCGCAGAGGAAAGAACATCTCTTAGACTATCTAAAAGGAATTTATTAGAAGTTTGTAGGATCTAGGATAGTGGAGATAGGAAGGAAGAAAGAAAGGCCTAAAAATAGACCAGAAACGGACAAAATGGCGCCTGGATGGTTATGGATGAGTGATTTCGATAATCAAAAAAATAGGTGACCTTGATGAGATACTAGAGACTATGCCTATGACATTTGAAAGGAAATGGACATGAGAAAAGCACCTAACTAGGAATAACAAACACTATATGCAAAACGAAACAATGCGATTTTCTGACGAAAAGAAGAAGAAGACTAGTATTCGATTCTTTTCGACCGCTGGAATCCGACACTCAAAAAAGGATCGACACTCAAATAAGTAATTCTGATGGGTTGAAAATGCGCGCTACCAAAGGAAAACCGGCACAATTTTTTTTAAAATCAAATGCAAAGTTACGGTGTTATTTTTAATAAAAAAAGCAAACATCTACCATCACTAGCTTGACCCTAAAATATACTTTTTAAAAGTATTCGACCTCATACAATCACCCTTGGGGTTTTCAAGTTATGAAGGAAAAGAGGAAAGAACTGCCCTTTTCGCTTCGTTTGTTATCTGGAAAAAACGTTAACAGGGGAACACAGCAAGTTCATATATATGATGGTCACCGCGAGTACATTTCGCGTTTAGTAACACAAAGACTTTCGTGATCCTACCATCAGGTCTCCATTTATCTCCTGGGTATGGAGTGGCAAGTGGAGATTGATGCCTTGCCAAAGGACATTAGTGCTGTGTCGGGGATCGAACCAACGAGCTTTATATATATCACATAGGTATTAGAAAGTACTGTACGTTCTTGTCCTTCATTCCTTTGAAATCCATCATGTTTAAATTAGATAGTGACAATTTTTGTTTTGCCTTTCAGATTTATCGAATCCAGCTCATTGCTCTAACGAGAGGTTACCTCCGTGCGCCGTAGGTTCCCAAAGTCTTTCTAACCCCATGGCAGCGGGCTACTTCTTCAAAGGAAACTGGCATTCTAACTACTGCCAGCTTCGTAGCTTTGTAATCCCTAGTTCCCTTGAAATGCCTCACCAATAAAACCCTGTATTTCCACGGGGACTCCACCACGAGACAGTATTACGAATACCTCATGATGAGTCTAAAGAGTTCCCTTGAACCGAATCCCCCTACTTTACAATCTAATTGGAAGGTTGGCCCTTCTATGGCCGAAGACAAAGTAAACAACTTTACGGTTCACTCTCGCCAACACGGATACCCGATCCGAAATAACTGGACGGATGCAACCGAAGTGCAATACATTGAGGAAGCTCTTGATGAGCTACAAGCGACACCGGATACAGTCTACGTGTTTACAATTTGGGCGCATCTAACCACCCTAAACATGAGTTTCTATGAGCATCGAGTGAGGAGGAAAAAGGCCGCGCTGGAAAGATTGCATCGCCGTAGTCCCGAGACGCTTGTCGTGATCAAAAGCGTGAATACCCGTTCGCACGGGAGCGCGGGATCGTCTTTAACGGTAAGCGATTGGTACGCGCGAGAACTGGACATGAAGCTTAGGGAAATATTCAAGAGCTACGATAAGAAAATTGGATTCATAGACCAGTGGTCGATGGTGGTAGGATTTTCGAATCCGGATGCCATTCATCCAGGCCAGGGAGTTATATATAGTGGAATAACTACATTACTGTCTTTGGCATGGCTATGTGCAATTATGGGATTAGGATACTGTGAGACTTAAATACAAAACGGATTTTATATAAGAAAGTTATGGCAGTTTTTAGATTTTTAGGGGTCAATTTTTCAAGAATTTGAGAGATTTTTGACGGAGTCGGTTTCAAGTTTAACATTTGAGTACGAAGATGGCATTTTGAAGGTCAAGTTATACGTCGCAGAGGAAAGAACATCTCTTAGACTATCTAAAAGGAATTTATTAGATGTTTGTAGGATCTAGGATAGTGGAGATAGGAAGGAAGAAAGAAAGGCCTAAAAATAGACCAAAAACGGACAAAATGGCGCCTGGATGGTTATGGATGAGTGATTTCGATAATCAAAAAAATAGGTGACCTTGATGAGATACTAGAGACTATGCCTATGACATTTGAAAGGAAATGGACATGAGAAAAGCACCTAACTAGGAATAACAAACACTATATGCAAAACGAAACAATGCGATTTTCTGACGAGAAGAAGAAGAAGACTAGTATTCGATTCTTTTCGACCGCTGGAATCCGACACTCAAAAAAGGATCGACACTCAAATAAGTAATTCTGATGGGTTGAAAATGCGCGCTACCAAAGGAAAACCGGCACAATTTTTTTTCAATCAAATGCAAAGTTACGGTGTTATTTTTAATAAAAAAAGCAAACATCTACCATCACTAGCTTGACCCTAAAATATACTTTTTTAAAGTATTCGACCTCATACAATCACCCTTGGGGTTTTCAAGTTATGAAGGAAAAGAGGAAAGAACTGCCCTTTTCGCTTCGTTTGTTATCTGGAAAACACGTTAACAGGGGAACACAGCAAGTTCATATATATGATGTTCACCGCGAGTACATTTCGCGTTTAGTAACACAAAGACTTTCGTGATCCTACCATCAGGTCTCCATTTATCTCCTGGGTATGGAGTGGCAAGTGGAGATTGATGCCTTGCCAAAGGACATTAGTGCTGTGTCGGGGATCGAACCAACGAGCTTTATATATATCACATAGGTATTAGAAAGTGGTACTCTGTGTCAAGTATGTCAGTTTATGTGGATATTATGTGGTAAACCACATGGACTGAAACTCCACACTGTGACACAACGTGAACACATAAGTTCCACACAGTTTACACATAAGTTCCACACAGTTTACACATAGTTGACTATGTGAACATAGTGTGGCAACACTGTGATTGTTCCATAAGGGTTACCACGGCCAATTGTTTCCTGCTCTAACTGCCCTTTTAAAGAAAAACGAAGACGTATATTCTTATCCAACAAGACAGTCAAATGAATTTCACCTATCCAATCCCAAAACCGCTACGGCACCTAAATCAATATTAATATGCATAGTGGCCTGGACGCAAAATTCATTTTCCTACGAACTAGTTTATTTCCGGTCTTCTGATTGGCTGATATGTTTTACGTCATTAGCAACTTGGAAAGAGGTCACAGACAATTGGACTTTGGTTATTTATTGCTTTGCCTCACTATTTATAGTGGCAAAAATAGGACTAAATAAATGCTCAGCTTCGAACCCTTAACTCTCGCGTTGTATTACACTGCCCTTACCAATGAATTGATGAAGTGGGTTTGCATGATTGTTATACAGCCTAACGGCAGGCGTGCAAAAACACGTCTATTTCATTAATACGGCGTACTCGGACCGGTTCAACCCAGTACCGTACAGCTCTCCGAGAAGGCACATTTTCAAACGACGATATCTTCTTCATTTTATCCCTTTTGTGCGCTCTGTTTTTTTGCATTGTCATAGTGAATATCTGGAGTTACTTAATATTTAAGAATATTTATTATAAGAATCCTGTCTCTCTCTCTAAGTGCCATATCGATTGACTTTGGCGATCATGCTGTTCCACAACCCTCGGTTCCTACCCTTCTGTATTAGTACCACTCCCAGTTCTTTTACTCCTCTCTCTTTCAAAAATTTCTGCAGACTGTCCATCCAAAGTATCCTTCTTCTTCCCCTGCTCCTTCTTCCCACAATTTTCCCTGTCAAAGCAAGATTCTCTAGGCCTTCTTTACGTGTAATGTGACCCATGAACTTCAACTGCCTAATCAACATCTCACGTATCATTTTCCTTTGCACTCCAGCTCGTGTAAGAAATTCCTCATTACTAACTTTGTCATTCCAGGGGATTTTCATCATTCTTCTTAAAAACCACATTTCGCAACTTTCCAAACGCTTTTTAGTATCAGAGGCTAAAGTCCACGTTTCACTACCATACATAAGTACTGGGTAGATGTAACAATTCAATACTCTTATTCTGGTCCTCATACTCATTGTTCGATTTGTCAGAATTTTGCCTAGTTTTGAAAATGCAGATTTAGCGAGAGCTATCCTTCTCTTGATCTCTGTCTCACATCTGGCATCCTCGGTGATCATGCTGCCGAGGTAGTTAAATGAGGAGACTTGTTTAATAATCTGTTCATTCAGTTTCAAGTTACATTT